CCTCCCAGGAGTCGAAAAAGACCCCCCTGACCACCCGCGGGACGCCCTCTCCAGACCCAGGGGGAGGGGGGAGGGGGAGGGGTAAACCCCCCCCCGAAGGGGAAGAAGGGGGTTGGGGGGTTGAGAACAGAGAAAGCTCGCTAAACCACTCACGCCCAAAGGGCTGGTGGGATTCATACCACTCCAGCCCAGCCGGCACTCGCCCCCTGCGCGCACGGTCGTCAATTATCGAAAAAGAAAGCGAAGTGCACGCGCGCGCGTCGTCGCGCGCGCATGCAGAAATCTTTCAGAAATCTCAGGTGTCGGAAGGAATTCCAAATCGGCTGCACCAAAATTACAGAACACATGGTTTCGCACCACGGAATTTCCAAAAAAGTTTGCGCGTGCGTTCTACCATCTTCTTCCCATTCTTCCACGAAGGGCGACCAAACAGGCTTCGCGCGCGCATGTCGAAATCGTTCGAACGCCTTTGCGCGCGTGTCGTCGCGGGAGTCCTTTGCAAAAAGCTAGGTGGAGTACACGCGCGCGCGCGTCGTCGCGCGCGCATGCCAAAATCAATCAAAAACCGTCGGTTTCGTCACGATGTCAAAGCCGAGTCTTCAAACATACATTTAAAACACTTTGTTTCGCAACAGCAGTTTGCCAAAAAGCGTGCGCTCGCGCTCCTGCGAATTTTGAAAGAAAAACGCTGGTTTTTCCAAATGCGCATGGGGATCTGCCAAGCGGGCCTCTGGCGCCGCATGCCGAAATCATTCGCACGCCCTTGCCCGCATGTTGGGGGGGGCACGATCCGTGTCAAATATTACCATGCGAGCCCCCCGCGCGTCGGCAGCGCGCGCATGTCACATGTTTGCGAAAATTTCATCACCGACGCGAGGACGCCGTCAACCTCGGCCGCGCCGTCGTCGTTGTCAACATCGCCACCAACATCGTTACTACCATCATCGTGTCTGCCATGGTCGACGTTGCCATGATACCGCGCCAGCCCAGAACCGACTCGCACTGAAGTGCCTGTTGGGATGTGCCCAGCGGCCAGCGCCACCGCGGCCGCGCCGGTCGCGTCCGATTAGTGGACCGTTGCGCGCGCGTGTTTGGGTCGGCGCGGCGGAGACGCACCAGCCAACAGGGATCACTCATCGCAATCGCCGCCGCATGGGTTTTGCAAACCAAGTTGCGGGTGGGTGGGCGGGGCGTTTGCAAGAGCAGTGGATGCGTCAACCCGTTGATTTGGACAACAAAATGTTTTTTGTTTATAAAGATGTGCCACAGATATTGCATCGCATATGTCACAAAAAACCATGTGTTTGGGGTCCACGCTGACTAACATAGGTTGGACCACATATATTGCAGAAGGTACATGGCCCACATAGAATGCACACCGTGTATTGTTACAAATACACTGTTGGGTGACATTTGACATTGAGCAATATATGTATATAGTGGTGCAATATATGCGGTGCGCGATCTATGAGGTGCAGTCGACGTGGTGCAATAATTGTGGTCCACGTTATGTGGTGCAACGTACATGGTGGAATCGACGCAGTGCAACCGAAGTAGTGCAACCTGCGTGGTGCAATTCCACATTGTGCAATCTACATTGTGCAATCTCTGTGGAGCAATAGTTGTGGAACGGCATATATATATATATACTCATATATAGACATACATACATACATCTGTCAAGAAATGTGTAATGCAGTCTATGTGGTGCAACGTACGTTGTAGAGTATAGGCGGCGACGGGGTGGCGACGGCGAGCACGGAACCGCCAGACCGCCACCCAAACCCAGACGACGGGCGGCGACAGGACAGCAACGGCGAACATGCCGCCAGACCACCACCCAGTCCCAGTTTCTTTGACCAGAAGAATGAGCTCTCAAGTGCAAGAACTGATTGGGGCAACAATGAAAATCCAACACATGATTTTTTGGTCTGCGGGGCGAGAGCAAGCAATGAACATCATCCAACACATGAGGGTGTGGAATAAGAAGACGAGCCCATGTGGGCATGAGTTGTAGCGCTACGTCATAATCCGGGGTTGGCAGGGAAGCCTACTCTTCACCGGAGGAGCAGAAGTAGGAGAATCGAGTAGGAGGAGGAGGAGGAGGAGGAGGAGGAGGAGGAGGAGGATGTTCGCGGATCAAGTTTCACGAGGCATTCGGGGACGTCCGAAGGTTTCCGGAGATTTCCAGGGACCTCCAGGGAGCGGGAAGAGGAGGAGGAGGAGGGGAAGCAAAAGAGTACGGACTAGGATAGGGGACGATTAGCAGGAAGGGGAGCAAGGAAGTTGGGGACAAGGAGGCGGAGGAGCAGGAGGAGGAGTAAGAAGCGGAGGTGGACTCTTCATGTTCCCCCGCCCTATTATTATCCCAACCGCGACCCCTTTCGTTTCCTCTTTTCCCCTCTTTCGTATCCCATTCCTGATCATTTGTAATGACGTTCCCTCTACTCCCTGGTTCACCCTGGCGTTCCCAACCGTCTTACCACATCACCCCCCTCGCCGCCATCCCTCTTTTGTTTGTTATCTCTCTTTCTCTCTCTCTCTCTCTCTCGTGATGTATGTTCTTATTGTTAGTCTTATTGTTTTTGTTTTTTTCTCGCTCTCTCTCTCTCTTTCTCTCTCTTTCTCTCCCTCTCTCTCTCTCTCTCTCTCTCTCTCTCTCTAAGCGACCCTATATGGATTGCTCTCTCTCTCTCTTTCTCGTTCTCCCCTCACTCTCTCTAGCTCTCTCTCTCTCTCTATCTCTCTGTCTCTCTTATTATCCCCTTGCTCTGGCTACATTATAAATACGTTTAATATCTCTGTATGTGTATATATAGTAGATGTGCTTATGTACATACACACACATACCCGGTGTCCAGGGCCGGGGGCTTCAAGGGCAGATTTTGGATCTCTTCGCCGGTAGCAGGGCACTTGGGCCACTCCAAGACGCGCCAAGACGGGCCCAAAAACCACCGCGATGGCCAGAGAGGGATCCGAGTCGTTGAAGAACCGCTCCAAGACGCCCGAGATGGCCCCAAGACGTGCCAAGAGACCGCCCAAGAAGCATCGAGGGTTTTCCAAGAGCGCTCCCTAGAGGCGCCCAGCACGCCAAACTTGCCCTGTTCCCGTAGGAGAACGTACATGTGTTGTTAGGCATATACGGTTGTTCTGCCTTCACGGCGTTGAAAACGATCCATGGAGTTCCCAAGATTACCCCAAGACAGCCCAAGAAGCCTTCAAGAACGTCCCAAGACAGCCTAGGAGAGGCCTCAGATTCGCCCAAAAGAGGCCAAGAGAGCCCAAAGACAGCCCCAAAGTGGCCCAAGAGCGGGAGCACGACCCAACAAGTCGAGCTTCCCGCCCCGAGATACTCCGAGGAGCCCCCCAATGGCCCCAAGAGGCCGCCAAGAGCCCCCCAAGACGCCCCAAGAAGCTTCAAAACAGCGCCCACGAGGCTTCAAAATTGCCTCCAAAGCGCCCCCGAGAACCCTCACACGACATCCCAACGAACCCCAAAAGACTTCTTACCGCACGCTGGCGAATGGGCAAAGGATTCTCGGAAAGACACGAGGAGAAGAGATGAGGGAGTGGAGGATGCGGCGTCATGAGTAGAAGAAAAAGGAGCGTCAGGAGGAAAGGAACCTCCAGAGGACGTGTCGAATGGGAGGTGCACCCCCCCTCCGGTCGGTGTGTGACTTCCTCCGTTACTCCTTCAATCTAGATTCCTACCTATTTTGCCTCCTTCATTTCATATCCTCGTCCGATCTGCATACTTATCATGACTCCTGGTCCTCAATCCTTTCTCCTCCTCCGTCCTGCCAACTGGCTGCCTCATTCCTCCGCTGTCCTTCCATTAATGTCTTTCTCAATCTGCACCCTCTCGCTTGCCTGGACGAGGGTTGAGAAAGCAACAGCAGGCAATGGAAGGCAAGAAGCAGGCCGGGAGACGACAGCCACAACAAGATGAGTAGGAAAAGCAGGGCAGTTGGAGAACGAGGAAGCAAGCATGATCAAGCATGCATGTCCCAACATTTGGAGCGACCTAGGAACAGAGCGCGCGCGGAGCGCGCGCGAATGTGTCTAGTATGTAGATATGTATATATGTATATATACACATACATACATACATACATACATACATACATACATACATACATACATGCATACATACATACATACATACATACATACATACATACATACATACATACATCTATACATCTATACATACATATTTAATGCTTCTATATATAGATATGTGTTTGTGTGCGTGTGTCTGCTCATCATCCCCTTCCTCCCTCCTCACACTCCCCCCTCCCAGCCCGAGCTTCGTGCCTTGCCTGGACGTTTCGTTTGTTCTGTCGAGCGACATCCGATCATGGGAAGCCTCCCCGGCTACTGCGCAGCGCCTCCGTTCTCCCCCATCTTTGGTTTGGCTGAGCCGAGCTGGCGAGCGGGCATCCGCAGCGTCTCGGACGGAGGCCGAGGGACAGCTGCTGGCCCGTTCGCTTCGCATTTTCCCAGATCGACCCGCAGGGCGAAGGCCAACAGATACCAACAGACTCTGGGGCGTATGCTGAGGCGACTCGTGGCGCCCTTGTGCGGGCCGCTCGCGCTGGGGGCCAGATGCCAGGAGGCTCGGCCGCGCTCAGGCTCAATTATTCCGCGGAGCGGAGGTCCGCCCGAGGTGGTGCAGTCTGTCGTCTGATTACGGCGCGGGTACACGCGCCGCGTCAACGCGCGGGCGTGTCGGTCGATGAAGGTTGAACGATCCACGCGTTATCAGCAACCAGCGCAGCCGTCCTCAAAGCAGGAACGTGAGCCTAGTCACGACACGACACGACACGACACGACGAATCTCTCCAGAGCGTTCGAGAATGCTCTGAGACAGCCGCGGCGTCCGATACATCTCCCAAAGCCGCCAGGTCGTTGAGATCGCTGGTTTTATTTCTTGCTTTGTTTCGTTTTATTTCACCCTCCCTCCACTGGAGATGGGAAGCCGCCCGGCCGCGCCGGAGGTGTCCTGGGACACCGTCATGGACACCCGCATCGGGGTGGAGCTCAAGAGCTGCCAGGAGCAGTGCGGTGCCGAGGTGCAGAGGCCGCGGATCGGGCGAAGACGGCGTCGGCGACGACGTCGACGACGGCGGCGGCGGCGACGACGACGACGGCGGTCTCGCCCTCCTCGTCCTGCTCGTCCTGCCCCAGGGGGAGGAGAGAAGTCCTCGCTCTCGTTATCCTCCTCCTCGTCCTTGCCCTCCTTCAGGGAAGAAAGGAGGTGGACGGGACCTTGTGCTCTCCTGGTACTCCTCTTCCCCGTCGTTATTCTCCTCCTCTTGATCCTCGTCCTCCAGCCCATTTTAGAACCTCATGAAATACAGAAGGGCCCCCCTCACACATTTCCGTGCAACGTACATCTCATTTCGATTCTGATGGGAGCAGGAGGGCCGTGCGCCGCCAAGTGCGTGCGGTGAAGACGCTTGCACGGACACGCACAGTACGTTCATCGGCTACAACCCCTGCTCCCTGGTGCAGACACGAAGATCGCCAGAGACTTCTACTTCTATGCGCGGTGCGGCTTTCATTGTGCGCATTAGGACAAGACTAAGAGCTACTGCAATGTCTTTGCACGGTCCCAGACTCAGGGTACACAACGCTTCATACACTTTGGACCAGGCCGTGGACATTTTTCGAATCGAAGGCTTGGTGTGTCGACTGGCTTTTCTACTCGACATGTTATCCCTGGTACGATATTTCAAACGTCGGTTCCGCCCCCCACAGCTGCTCGTCGAGGCGGACTTGCTCGCGTCTGCATTGCCCTCCTCGACGTCACGATCATTGCGATAGATTTCCCTCCGCCAGCTGTGGGGCGGGCATTTCGTGCTGGGGAAAGAAAACTGAAGACACACTTTTGACGTGGTTGAATGAAGAACTTACTGCTCTCCTGTGCCGCTCGACACCCCCTCTCTACACTGGCTTAAATGTCTCTTTTAGCGCGGACGAATACACGGCTTTCGGACCATTTGTGCAACACAGAATGGGATACGCGGGCCGTGCGCCCGCGAAGTATTACAACGTCAGTATTTGTGTTGCCCTGACATTTCTGTGAGCATGGCACCGACCTATTATGGCTTACAGAAGGCGATTTCTTGGATTGGATACTTTATTATCCCTGCTGAAAGGCGAGAACGTACGACGAACTGTTTGATGTTGACCAGACTTGCCCTGCGGTTTCATCTGTATTTTGGGAGTGGCCATTCGTTGGGTCATGCTCCGTGGTTGCTCCAGGTGGGAGTGTCCCTTCCCGTGGTATCCCCACGGCGTGTGCGATGGAATAAGGACTTGCTGGCGATGACTTTGGTGATCAACCATGCTGTGTTGGAAGCTCGACGCGATGCGATGCTTCCAATGTGGATCACCAGCCTCGACACGTGCAAGACTAAAAGAGCTCGTGATCACGCCACTGCAGCGGTAAAAAAGGCAGCGCGTCGACGAGTTGTCCCACCATGGTGTGTACCTGGCGAGTTGTGGTGTTTCATATTGGCGCCGCACTTTCAGAAGTAAAAAGAAATTATCAATCGCCGGTCACGGACGACGACGTGAATATGCAATCTTGGTTGGTCAAGTTACCTCTTGGAGACTGCGACGAGAGCGCCAGTGCCGTGGTGCTGTATTGCACGGTTCGGCTTACGCATATGGTTGTTGCTCGCATGAACGGTTTGAGGACTACCGAAATTATATTCACGTATGCTTACGCCAATATATTGCAGAACCGGCGCAAGACACTCGCGCACACGTCTGGCACCCTCATGGGCGAGGCTTGGGCGCCCGACGAGCTCAGGATGGAGCTTCAGAAGCCGATTGATGCATGGCGCCATCGCGCGGGCCAAGAGTTACGAAAAGCTGGCGCTACGGTGCAAGAAATGGTTTGGCAAAAGCGACGTTGGAGGAGGCGTGGGATCGAGTGCGACTGCCACGCGACACACTTTGTTACGATCGGGGCAAAAAGAAAGTTCACCTTTGCATCAAGAACGACCAGGCGGCACAGGACACGATCCACACAGCCGACTCCGTTGCGCGCTCTTTGCCTTGGAACACGAGTTCGCGCCGGCTGTGCATCTGAGGTCTGTCCGAGGTGGACGGGCGTCGCGCGGTCGAGGCCGCGCCAACAGGGGCCGCGGCAGAAATGTCATAACGTAGTCTGCCTGAGTGGTATGCACTTCGACATACTCTTTGCACGCGCTTACCTATGCTACCGACGAATGTTGTTTCGTCACGACGGCCGACGGCGCAATCACACTTACACTTTACTTGCTTGTACTGGTGGACGTGGGACGGACTTGTTGGGACTGTGATGGCACGTGCCCCCCCCGCGCCCCCTGCGCGTTGTCGTCTGCGCCCTCCTCGTGTACGGCACCGTGCTGGCCGCCGCCCACCTGCTGTTTGACTTCGTGTGCCCAGGCCACTTCCAGGCTTGAAACTGCTGCACCCGCCGTGCCGCTTCCTTGTGTGTATATACTATTTACAGTCTGCTTGTACAGTTCCCCGGGGCCTCCTCTACGCCTGTGGTGGCCTGCCTAGGCCCTCTTGCTATTCCTTGGTTTAACCGAGCTTCGGCTGGCTGCCGTGAAAAAATAAAAAATCGCCGAATTGTTTTGGCTGATCCGTTGGATGCGTACGTACAGTGTGCTTACGTTCGAGTTGTTGTCGAGGGCCTGCACAGGCCTGCCCCGCCACGGACTTGAGGGAAACGAGGGGCACGGCGCGCCTCTGCGCCGCGCCATTATTATCCCCCCCCCCCCAACGACCCTCGCTCCACCCCCATCTCGCCAGGGAGAATGGAAAGAGGAGAAGGGAGAGAGGAGCTTGGAAGGAGGAGCAGTCCGGAGGAAGGAGGAGGGAGGATATGGGGAGGAGGATTCAGGAGGAGGGTGGAGGCACGAGGACCCCACAGAGGCCGCCGTGACCCCCTTGCAGCCGTTTCACAACTCTTGAACACCAGCAGCGCCCACAGAGTCGGCCTTCACCGCCATCAGCTAGTCTGAAGACCCACGGGGCACCAGCGCGGGCCTCCCGACGCCTTGAGTCTGGAGAGCTTGCATCGACGATTTCCCTTCGGGGCGCGGACGGCGGCGCGTCCTCCTCCTCGTCCCCCCCCTCCTCCCCCTCCTCCTCCTCCTCCTTTTCCTCCTCCTCCTCATCCTCATCCTCATCCTCACCCTCGTCCTTCTCGTCATCGTATTTACTCGTCCTCATCCTTCTCCTCCTCTTCTTTCCTCCATTTGCCTCGGATGGTAGTTTCACTGCAGTTTTCCCTGAAGTGCCACTTCACTGCGTCCCAGGACCAAATTCGAGGGTTGACCAAGGAAAGGAGTGCGAGCTGCCCACCATGTGATTTCCTTTGGACATGGAAAGGTAACCGCCCAAAGAGAGGCAATCTCACCATCGAGGTGGGGCACTGTGGGCCTTGCTCTAATACGTTGATCCTCGGTTCCACTTTTCTGCAGAAGTAAAGAAGAAGGACAACATTCCTCCAGGGCGGCACGGGTCGAGGAACAACCAATAGCGTTAAACATGCATTTCGGAGGTCCGTGCCGATCGCGCCGCCGGGGGGGGATGCAGCACCGATCCGGGAAATCCGCGCCGACCTCCAGCAACGTATGGTTATATCATCTCTGTTCCACGGGCGGGGGGGGACGCGCCCAGACTGTGCAGAGAGATCCTTGGAAAGTTCAAGGACCAGTCCAAGGAGCGGGCGCCGCCCTGCCCCCCCTGCGGCCTCTCGCGGGGGCGCCGGGAGGGGTCGCGAAGACGCTTCCCTGAGCACCCCGAAGGTACTTGCAAGGACGCTTCCCTGAGGCGGTGGACCGTACCTACCGGATCGCTTCCTTGGGCTGCCGGAAGGCACGGATTGATTGGGGACGGATAGGATTGCACGGACAGATGCGGTACACAGTTGTTGTGCATCTTGCGCAAGAGTCACTGTCGGTGTCGCCGCGGATGTTGTCCGCTCAAGACAATACGTCGCCTGGCTATCAGCGGCTGCTGTCAGTGTGGGACATATTTCATTCTGTCCTGGGCATCCTATCCACGCTTTCCGTACCCAGCTCGGCGTCCAGAGGGGGCGTCGGTGCGGACGGTGTGGTGAGGAGGAGGAGGAGGAGGAGGAGGAGGAGGAGGAAGAGGGGGAGGAGGGGGAAGGGGAGGAGGAGGAGGAGGAGAGGAGAGGAGACTAAGGAAGAGAGGGGGGAAGAGCGCTACGGCCACGTGGAAAAGGGCCGTTTTCTTCAAATGTGGTTATGTTCCTTATTGTCTCCTCTACACCATCCTCTCCTTCCATCTCCTCATAATCCCTGATGTTCTGTGTTACCCTTTTGATGCGTTACCCTTTGAGCCCCAACTGGAGCAAATGTGGAGGACAAGGGGAATGAGGAGGAGCAGGACGAAGGGGCAATGGATGAATGGAGGGAATGAGCATGTGACAGGGTGCAGTGGGTTTGCGCGGAGGAATGTACATGTATACGCACAACCGCAAGGACACTTGCAGCGTTACCTCCGTTTTCGCGGAGGTTTTTTACATGAGTTCTACTTCCTTGCGCGACTACGCTCCTGAAGTCCACCCTCCCACTCCAATTGGAAACGTTTTGAAGGACACGATGCATGGCAACATGCGATACGACATGTTGCCGCCTCCACCCCCACGCAGGCTAACGACAACACATCATGTCCCACAGCCACACACATCCGACCACGACCTCAAGGGCCGTTGGATTGGTATTACCACATTTGGCTTTCTACGGGTCTCTATCGGATACGGTGTCGGGCGCATGCAGTGTGGCGGAGACGACACGCGTATTACCGGCCCCCACTGGGACCCTGCCAGTAGCGCACCTTTTCCGCGAATTCGCTCGCGAGGTACATGCAGGCAACATGACCCCCCCTCAACAGGCCGCGGCATTACAGCGTGGCCTGGAAGGGCTCGCAAGGACCATAGCAACGAGAGTACCTTCTTCAATCATTAACTTTGGCGTGAATTTTGGCGGTCGCCACACCGACGGCGCCACCTACATCATGTTCACATTCAGCACTAAGTTCGAAAATCTAGAGGACGAACGCCCATTCAATTCAGGAGCGGCTCTCATCGACTTTCGCGCCCATGCGGGAGAGCGGATCGACCAGACGTTTGCACGTTTTGAGATAGCACGTTTCCAGGCCGAGACCGCAGACTTCAATATCCCCAATTCTTTACGCTTCGCGTATCCCCACCAGCCCATCTCACAGCAGCAACTCTTGCGAAGCATGCCGACAGTCGTGTTTTTTCAGGCGTGTGTCCGCTTGGCCCCGCATATCTCCCCTGTTCCTTGTTCCTCCCGCCTCCGTGTACATCCTCCTTGTGGGGGGGGCGGGAGAAGGACGAGGCGGAGGAGGAGGGAGAGAGAGCGCTCCTCGTGATTTGAGTCGTTTGGGGTTTCTCGTCCTGGTGTGAGTCGTTCGGGCCCTTCTTCCTGGTGTGAGTCGTTCGGGCTCTTCGTGGTGTGAGTCGTTCGGGCTCTTCGTCCTGGTGTGAGTCGTTCGGGCTTCTCGTGGTGTGAGTTGTTCGGGCCCCTCATCCTGGTGTGAGTCGTTCGGGCCCCTCCTCCTGGTGTGACTCGTTCGGGCTCCTCGTGGTGTGAGTCGTTCGGGGCCCGCGTCGTGGTGTGAGTCGTTCGGGCTCCTCGTGGTGTGAGTCGTTCGGGCGCCTCGTCCTGGTGTGAGTCGTTCGGGCCCTTCCTTGTGGTGTGAGTCGTTCGGGCTCCTCGTGGTGTGAGTCGTTGGGGTCTCTCGTCCTGGTGTGAGTCGTTCGGGCTCCTCGTGGGGCCTCTTGGGGGCCTCTTGGAGCTTCTTGGGGCCTCTTGGGGGCCTCTTGGGGGCCTCTTGGGGGCCTCTTGGGGGCCTCTTGGAGCCTCTGGGGGCCTCTTGGGCGCCTCTTGGAGGCCTCTTGGGAACCTCTTAGGGCCTCTTGGGGGCCTCTTGGGGGCCTCTTGGAGGCCTCTTGGGGGCCTCCTGGGGGCCTCTTGGGGCCATCTTGGGGCCTCTTGCGACCTCCTCAGAAGCGCAGATGAGCGCTGCCCCCTGGGAAGGACAAAATGAGCCCAAAACCTTCGTAACATCAATGATTTTGCTATGAGGGAAGATGAGCGCGGCCCCCTCTGAAGGCCAAAATGGGGCCAACACCCTAGTAAAATCAATGTTTTTGGCTTCAAAGACGAGCTGAGGCGCTAAACTCCCTCCCCCCCCCCCGGGGCCAGAATCCTCGTGAGGGTCGTCGTTTTTTGGCCCTCCCAGGAGTCGAAAAAGACCCCTCCAACCACCCGCGGGGCGCCCTCTCCAGGCCCAGGGGGAGGGGGTAGAGGGAGGGGTAAACCCATCCCCGAAGGGGACAGAGCGGGCTCTCTAAACCACTCACGCCCAAAGGGCTCGTGGGATTTCTGGATCCTAAGAGTTATCCGGTTCGGAGCCCTGGGTGTGGGTACGTCGCGCGCACAGCAATTACTACAACCACTTAACCACCAAATGCCAAGGACTCAGCAACCGTTCGATTCAGCATTATAACGCACGAGGTATTTTGCTCACATTACTGAGCAAACCCCTGGCGCAATCGGTGGTATATTCAGCCACGTTCATCGTACCGAAACGCTTCACACCGACACTAATACAGGGCAGCCTCCGAACAGCGTCGGGAACGACGATCCACAACCAACTGAGGCCACAACTTTATGAAGCCAACGAGGTGGCCAGCCTACGGGGTCACAGGACTACTGGGCTCGCTCTGATGGACCGTCGGCAATGGCGGCCCCTGCCCAAGCCATTTCCCTTGTAGGCTCTGCGGAGCAACCCGCCGAGTCTGAATTTGACTTTGGTACCGACACCGACACTACATCAGATGAGGGAACTGGTGCCCTGGATTATTCCGACATGCTTGTGCATCCCTTTGAAGAGCAGCAGGCGCAGTGGTCATTCCCAGGATACCAGAAACACAAACGCCGTTGGAGACGCTTTATGCAGAAGCTAGTTCGTAATGTACGACGCGCGGTCCGATTGGTAAGGGTAGAAGTAAGGGCAAAAGCAAACGACGGCGACTACACGGCGGACGTACATTGGGATTCGTTGCATCCCTGACTAGACCACAACACGCAGATATGTTCCTGGGGACAGGTAGGGGCCGCAGGCACACCTCAGGAAAGGGCAAGGGACGCCGGGGTAACCCGAAGGATGCCAATGGAAAAACCATGGAATGTGATATCTGCCATAGCACACAAAGTTTCCGTCGAGAGTGCCCCCAAGGCGATGCGAGAGACAGGGGTCCGTCGGTACACATCGGCTCAAACCGACATTCGGTATGTCGATTGGGAAAGGTTATTAGCCGAACCCGAAGACAACCCAAGTGCCGCTGTCCGCTTCACGGCCGCCGGGCATCTGAGTGCCAGCGTGTTCCTTGAGAGGTATGCCGATGAGCTCTTCGAGGAGATCTACGTTGGCCGCGACGAGATCGACCTGGTGGACCGGTCGGGCATTCCTATCGCGGGGCAACTTGCAGAGAATGAGTTCGTCGAGGATTTCCACGCGCCCGCCGATTCGGATCGCGAAATGGCGGGGGCACCTGCGGACCCCGATGCTACGATAACGGCAACGGAGGAGGAGCTCCAATTGCTGCTCCAGCCGCAGGTCATTGGTAATTCTATATACGGAGAACCATGCGCGCGACGCCGGCGACCTTTCCGAGCGCGTCCAACACGAGCCCGGACACGACGAAGGCCCCCACATCACGCGCGCAATACATGGACGATCTACAAGCCGCCCAGTTCGGAGGCGAGCGCATCACAACGACGACGACGAGGGCGACTGGGAATCTGAGAGCTACCACCCCCAACGTCATGGGCGGCGTGACTCGCGCAGGCACTCGCGCGCCCGCTCTAGCGGCTCACGGCGCCCGCGCACGCCTGACCAGAGGGTTGCAAGAACTCCACCCGGAAGGAAACGCTCGCGGGGAAACCCGCCTAAGGGCGAGGATCAGCCAGGTGAGCCCGAAGGCCAGGGCCTACAACGTCTCGCCAGTTACGAAGATCACGGGCTTGCCCACCAATCTGTCTCAGCAGCAGACGCGCGGCCAAGGCTGGGCCGAGCGCGACGTCCGCCACCGGCACTCACTCCATAATGCCACGCGGGATAATCGCGGCAAGATCACCCGCGCCAACGGAGGTTACGGCACTGAGCCGGCCCGCGCTCTTGAAAGAAGGGGCGCAAAAAGGGCCGCGCCGAGGCCGGGCCTGCAGCTGCGAGCATTCTGCGGACCACAGACCGGCCAGTCCGATGGGGCGTCTTTCAAGGTGCCCCATGTTTGGAAAGACTCCGTGGGTCTGGTCTCATGGAGACGGCCTGGGTCGCAAGGTAGATCCGACATGCAACCCCCCTAGACGATGTTTGACCAGAGATGATTGCCGGCCGCTCACCGAAGATGAGGCAAAACGCGCTGAGAAAAGTGGGAGAACCTCAGAAGATCGCCGCCTCAAGCGATACAAACGCGGATATCATGACATGATGGCTAGGGCGCCACCCGCGGGGCAACCCGCCTCTTCCTCTCGCGAAGGGGCGAACAATCCGAAGGGCGACAAAGAGGGTGACAAACCTGATCTGTCCAAGGCAGTCGACCCGACTGCTGCTCCTGCTCACGATTCAGAGTACACTTACGAGACTGAAAGCAGCAATCCAAC